GTGGTGGCGGCCAGTACACTCGGCACTGGCAATGATCCGCACTTCTGTCACTGACAAGGTCCATTCACACCTGTTATTCTCGGTGCCGTTAGCCGTATCCGTAGTACGTCTGCAAAGTTTGACAGGTTCCCTATAAACAATTTCGAATTCAGAGAGTTTTGCTGGCATGGTTTAGTTTCTAGAAATTTTCACCCTAAACTATCACATCGAATCTTGTGGTATGTGTATGAAGTATTAAATATAGACGAAAAAAATTAATTGTGCAGTTTGGTTGGACATCGCGAGACGAATGTTTTAAGACTAATTAGTCCATGATTAGCCATAAGTGCTATAGTAACTAACATGCGCTAGTAATGGATTAATTAGGCTTAATAAATTCGTCTCGCAGTTTCCAGGCGAGCTATGTAATTAGTTTTTTTATTAGTATCCGAAAACTTCTTCCGACATCCCCAAAACATCCGATGTGACATCTAAAATTTTTCATTTCGCGAACTAAACACAGCCTAAACTAATGCAATATTATGCTCACTATTTTTCTCTTTCCTCTCGCATCCAAATTTTAGACTTTTTCGCACTATTTTAGCAGTACTTTTCAGCAAACAAACATTGTTTTTTTCACAATAAATCAATATAAGCATCAGCGTAAACCAAATTTCAACAAAAACGAACGTGGCCTCAACTAAAAGTTTTTCTTGAATTACTTTTCCTTTCACGGAACGAGATTCGAATTTAAAGAACTTTCGTTATAAAAATGTGATGGCGTGTTCGTGTTACCGATGTGTAGATAATATTAATCATTTAAATGAAAAATTATTAACAAAAGCGTAGTCCCAAGTTTTTTTCCTTCGCAATTGAAAAGTAAAAAGAGACATAGGACGGATGAGCACGAGATAGAAATATGAGTACCTCAGCACTATTCTCCTTTTTATACTAAACTATAAAGACCCTCTCCCAAACCATATTTAAGAAAGTGCGCTTATGCTAAGGTACTACTTTGCTGAAATTATTATTTTTATATTGAGAATAAACTTTGATAAACCACAAGAAGTGTTTATATGTTCAGAGAGTTGGAAATGGCTACTAAAATCATAGGAGTTCCCAAAAATACCCAAAAATGACACTTTTAATCAATGATATTATTTCACAAGAAAAAGGAAATACCTGAATAACTAATATAATGGCTTCACGTAATGCACAGTTAGACCCTTTTATATAAAAATCACAAATTTAAAGTGAATTCAACAAATTACTTCCCCCGTCCCTAAATATTTATCGTTTTTTCTTCTCGAGAAACAACTTTGACTAAATATATATTAAAAATATTAATATTTATGGTATATAATTAATATCATTAGATAGATATTTGAATCTAGTTTTTTAATAAATTAACTTGGAGATATAAATATTGCACGTATTTTTTATAAATTGAGTCAAACTTTCAACACGGAAACCAACGACGATAGTTAATTAGGGATAGAGGGAGTAATCTTTTTAAATTCTTTACACCACAACTATAATTTAGATTTGAGATAAATTAGACAGATCCTTCACCTTGTACGGTACCAATTTCCTTTCCCTAGTCGATCCAAAAGGGTTTTTTTGTCCATATCTGGTGAATAGCTAGTTATCAAATAATGAAATAAATAATACTAGCAAATATATACGTACGTTGCGATTGGAAAAACTATCAGACATTTAAAAGAAATGGGTACAGAGAATGTTCTTTATCTATTTATATTTCCCATTTTCTATGAATTTAAGAGCTACAAATTATTAATTAATATTCTATATGCATAATTTTAAAGATGATTATGGCATCCATAACCTATGTTAATATTGACAATAATACGATAATGTCCTACTAAGTATGTATCAATTTTAAATACAACCTTGAGATTTTTTCCTATGGTAAAGTACGAACAAATGCTCGTAAATACATTATAACTTTAATTGTCAAGCTATCCATGCGTTGCTACAGCTAAAATTAAGTTCTACGGCTTTCTTTGAAAAACACATAAAAATATGTAATTCTAATCTCTTATCCAAGTCAGCTAGTATCAATTGGGTCGGAATTCGGCCCATCCAAACTGCCCGTTTTGGTTTGGAAAAAGTCCACGTTACCTCCCTCAACTTTCGCGAAAGTCCGCTTTTTCTCCCTGGACTTCAAAACCGGACAAAACACCTCTCTTAACTTTTAAAACTGTTCATCTTACCTCCCTGGCCCGGTTATAAGCGGTTCTAGAGGCGGTTTTGTCTTTTTCTTTTTTATTTATTTCGGCTGAATCTTTGAAAAATCATAATAAATCATAGAAAAATCATAAAATAGAAAATCCAATTTTTTGGACCCCACATGAGTAGATCTACACTGTGAACATATAATATGGTATGCTTTAGCACAAAAAAATTACTGTAACTTTAGATCTATGCTTTTCTGTAATTAAATGGAATAATTCATAGCTGCAGTTTGTATGGTCCAATTATGGTGAAATTTTTATGGTGGGCTAATTATTGTATGCTTAAACTATAGTAAAAAATTCATACTCATTAGATCATGTATAATTTAGTTATAGATTTTATTTAGGTTTATGCTTGTTAAATATAAATAAATCTATAACTAAGCTATACATGATCTAATGAGTATGAATTTTTTACTACGGTTTAATCATACAATAATTGGCTCACCATAAAATTGGACCATAGAAACTGCAGCTATGAATTATTCCAATTAATTACAGAAAACATAGATCTAAAGCTACAATAAAAGCTTTATGCTAAAGCATATCATATTATATATTTACTGTGTAGATCTACTCATGAGGAGTTCAACAAAATTGGATTTTCTATTTTATGCAATTTTTGTGATTTACTATGATTTTTTTAAAGATTTAGCCGAAAAAATAAAAATAAAAAGATAAAACCACATTCAAAAATGCTTATAACATGGCAAGGAGGTTGAGAGAGATGTTTTGTCCGTTTTAGAGTTCAGGGAGAAAAAACATACTTTCATAAAAGTTGACCGAGGTAATGTGGAGTTTTCCCTTTTTTTTTTCGGCAGTGAGATTGTCCGGCCCAAGGCGGCCCACCCCGGCACCCTGTCCAGCGCCGTGGCGGGCGGCGTTGCGGCGGAGCCCCGATGAGTCAGAACTCAGAAGACGCCATGTCCGGTGCGGAGGGCTTCTTCACCTCTGCAAACCAAAGGCACAAGGGAACTTGAATACTTCTGTTATTTCCTCTCTTCGACAATCTTACTTTTGGCGCTAATGCTGCTGGCAAGAATTCCACAAGACATTTTTTAAAAGAAAAAACAGAGCTGTGTACACCGAGTTTAGACTACAACCTCTAGAAGAATGTAAAGTTTAGTAGACTATGTTTACTATCAAAACTCGACCCGCGGGGGTTAAGACGGCCCTCCCGATTTTTCCTTTAAGAAGAAGATCTTCTCACATAGATCAAGAAAACTCTCGAACTCCCGCTCTCATCCTAACGCAGCGGTATCCATTGGCATGTGAGAACCGGGCCGGGCCATAACTGTGCTTTGGCACATGGATAAAAAATGTTACTGTAATCATGAAACAAAAGAAATCATGTTTCTTCAGTTTTCTTTTCGTACATGATACGAAAAAAAAATGGTCAATAGCATCATGTATGTGTGCATGAACTCGGGAAAAAAGTGGTCAAGTTAGCATTATGGTGTACTTATTATAATTGATTGTGAGTGCACTTTAATCTTCATCATGAAGGGGAATAATAAAAAAGTAAAAGTATGCCGACCAATTGAGTTGGCATATGCAGATAGATAACTAGATAAATGATCGTGTAGCGAATACTAGTTTGTGCTGTGATGTCTTTGCCAGTAAGCTTTCTGCAGATCTTTGTGAAACTACTTTGCAGTCTACACTGATTCATCCTGCATGCCTCAGCCTCTCAGGTCTCTGTCAACCAGTCTCCACTGATTCGGGAACTCGGTAATCTGTGGTCAGTCAGAGTCTTTGTGATACAAAGCACTGTCCGCTGTCCGGCCGATAACTTTTGTTATCACTACTGAATTTTGACTTCATTGGTGAAAAAGTAGCATGGGGTTAGCCGGCTAGCCAACCAAACAAAACTAGGTTAAATCAGGAACTTTGATGGACAACATTCTGATTACCGACGACCCTGAGTACGGCAAGAAGTATCGTCCTGTCCTATATAGGGTTACTGTTTTGTACTCTACACTCCTAATTGCAACAACTAAAATAAAGATATGTTTCAGGCTGAGAAGGCTGCTTTTGACAAGGCTGAAAAAAAGAGGCTTGCGGCCTGTTCGCTGGTTGGTTTCTGGGCTGATAAACCCAACTAGTGCTAGTTTGTTGTGAGAGAAAAACACTGTTGGCTGGCTGATAAGCCCTAGCTGAAACCAACGAGCGAACAGGCTATTGAGGAGGTATACAGAATTACACACTATCATTTGTGCAATGTCATCCCTGTTCTTTTTAGAGAAGTGTTAGTGTATTCATGCGTGGCGTAGCATAGCCCTCTCTTTCGAAACAAAATCATACTACTATTCAGTTCAGTATTTGCAATGTTCATGTTCCTCTTTTGCGAATCTGCAAGCACTAATGATGACGACGACATTGATGCAGATGTAACCTTTGGGTTGATTTGTTTGTACTTAAGTTTGTGCCTATATACTATGCGCCTATGCCAATCTTTTGTTAACGCTAAATGGCAATTGCTTGTGCCTGACTGGAGGATGAGGATGATGCGGACGATGACAACTTGACAAGGCTGGTAATACTGCTACTGATGAGGCCAAGGACTCTGCTGAGTGCTGACGCAGAAGGCAAGGTAGCTGCTGATGAGTAATAAAAAACCCATTTTTATCTAGAAATAAAAAGGGCCCATTTAAAGCTGAAAGGCCGAAGTCAATAGTGCGAGTCGTTATTCAGAAGTCAGAACTCAGAAGCAACCGTCACCTTCACTCTCTCCTCGACGCCTCCGGTCCACCAACCCTGCCGGCCATGGCTTCGGCTGCGGCGGCGCAGAGTCTGCTCGTGGCGAGCACGAAGATCATCGGGGTTGGGCGCAACTACATCGCCCACGCCAAGGAGCTCAACAACCCGGTCCCCAAGGTGCGCTCCGCGCGCCTCCCATCCTCGATCCCAAAACGCTGCCGGCTGCCGCGCTTCCAACTTCCCTCCCCACTCCTTCCCGCGCTGCCTCTGGAGTCTGGATTGATCTCACGTGTGTTTGGGTGTTAGTCTGGATTGATCTCTGATCTCGCGTGTGTTTGGGTGTGAGTCTGGATTGATCTCGCGTGTGTTTGGGACTTTGGGTGTGTTGCAGGAGCCCGTCCTGTTCCTGAAGCCGACCTCGTCGTTCCTCCACGCTGGCGTGGACACCGCCGCTGTCGAGATCCCGGAGCCGCTCGAGTCGCTACACCACGAGGTTGAGCTCGCCGTCGTCATCTCCCGGCGCGGGCGCGACATTCCTGAGGCGTCCGCCATGGACTTCGTCGGAGGTAATTTCAGAATTGCGTCACAACGATGGAGCCTTCCTGAGATATGTTCATGCTCTGTGTTCTCATTGAAATGTTACGACATGAGATAATTAACGACGAACCCTTCGTGAGATAGTAAGGCTTTGTATTCTCGTTTATAGAGAAAAGTTCGTGTGTTTGCAAAGTGCCAAAGTGTACTAAAAAAATCCTATGGTTTCATTTTTCAGAAAGGTCCATTAGGATTCTAGGATATGTTCATGCTCTGGAAACTATTTAGGATCATTGAGAGTTATTTTGGCCTTACTGCTTTATTGTCACGAGGAGTGACGGTGTGATGGAAGCTAGAAACAGATGGATTTTAGCAATTCTAGCTTCTTGACAAGCTTGGTGGAAAGTGCAAGCGAGCAATTTAAAAGCTAGAATTTCCAAGGCAAGCTCGTGCTCATTTGATGATGGTTATTGCATAGGCAGGAATACAAAAGTATGTTTCATGGAATATAGAAATACAAAACTCGTGAATTCAACTATGTTTTCTTGTACAATTGTGGATTTGTTGTTTTTTGGCCTGATTGGTAACTATTTGTATTCTGTTCTCTTCATCATTAGTGAACTTGAGTTAAAAGCTTACAATATGTAGTCTCATTTGATGATGGTTATTGCATAGGCAGGAATACAAAAGTATGTTTCATGGAATATAGAAATACAAAACTCGTGAATTCAACTATGTTTTCTTGTACAATTGTGGATTTGTTGTTTTTTGGCCTGATTGGTAACTATTTGTATTCTGTTCTCTTCATCATTAGTGAACTTGAGTTAAAAGCTTACAATATGTAGTCTCCTTTGTGCTTACCTCATTCTTTTTATGCTTTCTGAATTGAGCAGTTTAAAGTATTTGTTGGCGACAAACTAAATATGTGATAGCTGCTTGCGTCATTGAATTTTCCAGGTTATGCACTTGCTTTGGACATGACAGCAAGGGACCTTCAATCTGTTGCTAAGGTGAGTTCTACCTTCTGTAGTTTTTCTGAGCCTCAGTACTACTTGTTCAATTACTGATGTAGTAGTGTCATCTGTCATCCCTAGTGGTTGTTGAATCTTAGGTATGATCATAAAAACATTCAATTTGCATAAGTAAATTCAGTAACTAACTTTGCAATTTAGTCTCATTAGTGGATCTTCTCCATGATCATATGTATTGATGAACAGCAAAGATTCAGATGCTTTTAGTCGAGCTAGTTACTGTCTTCATCCATCCAATCTATTTCGTTTCACATAATGTTTTTTTAAATATATTTTGTTGTACAAATCTGGTAGCATCAATTGGCTGCCAAGACCTTAAGTAGACTCAACCTCTTGATGCTTTTCATGGACTTTGCAGTCTGCAGGCCTTCCATGGACTTTGGCTAAAGGACAAGACACCTTCACTCCAATTAGTGCAGTAGTAAGCAATGATGTTTCTTCATGCGCTTGGAGTTGTTAGGTGGCTCAGGACAGTATATTTTATTTATTTGTGTTTGCTTGTTAGAATTACACCTCAATGAATCAATGCCATATTGAAGTTAGTTAGCGTAGAAATATTAGTCTGTGCAGATTGCAGAAGGGTTGTTAGATAAGAGACACCTCATCTTTGTCACTTTCCGTGTTCTCCTCAGCCATCTAGTGACATGAAATGTGTAATCCCATTAGTATGACACACCATGTTTTGACTTCAGCTAATGATAATTTCTCCACCAATCAGGTTCCAAAATCGGCTGTCACTAATCCCGACGATCTCGAGCTCTGGCTAAAGGTATTTCTGCAAATATGTACTGAATTTCTTTAATGTTGCCTGAAGTGATAGAGCATATGGTGTACAATTGACTACCAACTGTATCCAGGTAGATGATGAACTAAGACAGAAAGGATCCACAAGTGACATGATATTCAAGATTCCTTTTCTGATCAGCTATATCAGTTCCATCATGACATTAATGGAGGGTGATGTGATACTAACAGGTAGTGACATTTTCTCTATGCTCAGCTTGTTTTTGTGCATCTGAGGTCTTTCTGTGGGTTATTCATTAGTTCCTCTACAGGTACTCCTGAGGGTGTGGGTCCTGTCCGAGTAGGTCAGAAGATCAAAGCTGGTATAACTGACCTAATTGATGTCGAGTTTAATGTTCAGAGGCGCAATCAGTCATTTTCCGCATGATGCAATAAGCAAGAAAGTAATGGTAAGCAACAAGTATTGCAAACATATGAACCGGAACTGATTTTTCTAATACGATACATAAGATAGTAAGGCAGCATGCTTTTATTTGTTGTGTGACTAAAAATAGTATCAGACAATTGGTTTCGTAAAAGCAACCCTGTTTGCCCGTAGCAAGGTCAATATGATCAGAAAGGGCATCATATTCATGTTCGAGGAAATTCTTGAAAATGTACTCCAAGTGGACAGCCAGGTGGTGTATATGTATAGGGTATAGCGCCAATATGCCAAAACTGTGCCAAACCTACGTTGTCCTACTCCACATTCTCACAGATACATAGCAATCAAAACCTGAAGTATATGAACTACTCCTTAGTTAGAAGCTGTGCTATATGAACTATTGTTACCCTGATTGAAAAAAAAAGATGCTATTGTCAACTAATGCTATGTTAGCTTAGAATCTAAGACTCGATTTTTCTGCAAGGATGTTCATGGAATAACGAAGCGCAAGGGCAAGGCATTGGCGGCGACGATGATCATTCTGGCAGTGGTCACGAGCAGCATCGCCATTACCTCAAACATCATGAGCCCCATCAGTCACAAAGTCAGAGAAGGTCATGTAGCTGGCAGATGATGGCTCAGATCAAATCAAATGATGTTATTGCAGGCCAACCGCTTGAAGATTGCTGCTCATGTCACGCGTTCCTCTTGGGTTGCTTCGGCCTCATGTTGTAGATGTTTGCGAGGAGATACGTAGGTAGATGGCTGTAAGCAAAATACCAGCTGGCCAATGTTGTATACTTGTACTGGTGATACACTGTGTAAAATAGAAATCAGTGAGCTTTTCTTTTTAAGGGTTTTATAAACCGTAGCAAATAATTTCAGGCCACTTATTAGCTGTCTCCCTTTATATGCCACCTGCCTTGTCACTTACTGTGAGAAGGCTCCTTGTCAATGAACAAATAATTTCCCTAATATTTATGACATACTCCCTTTTTTTTAAGTGTCACATTTGGTTTGTCCTAAGTCAAACATATGTATCTTTGACCATTGATTTAAAAAAAATTATATAGTTTCATGCAATAAGATTTGTATTTTTAGATTTATTATGAGAAATACTATCATAATATATAATTCATATATTGTGAAACTATAAGGATTTTTAAAAATGGTTGGTCAAAGATTGCAATGTTTGACATAGGACAAACCAAATGTGACACTTAAAAAAAACAGATTCCTCTGTTTCTGTAATAAAAACACATACTAGAAATTTTAGGACAACTTAGAATAACACTCAAATGACATGTACCCATAGAATAAACCCAATTAAGAAGTTTATCCTCAAATTATAGTTTTCTTTTTAATAAACTTTGCCAAATATGAACATGGGCACCACATAAAATGCATCTTAGGAAGTAATAACGCACTATTTCAGGGCGGAGAGAGTACAATCTATATCTAAACCTAGTATTAAAATGAGCAATTTTTTTTTGTATATGGCAAACAATCTATGCCTAATTGTCTATAGCATAGTTGTCTCCCTTATATGCACCACACATTTCGTGGTCTGACCTGACGAGCCCGTGTACGTTGCAACTCCGTATGGCTCGTTTTTTCACCTTTCTCAACCTCATAACAAGTAGATTTATTTTAGCTGAATAAATATTTAGTCAATATTTAGTTAATCCTTTATTACGTCTAACATTTATTGTGGATCTTGGGATTTAAACAAAAGGTCAAATGAAACTCAGATTATTATTACAATAAGTAAACATTAAATCTCATTTTTCACATCATTTTAATTATATATAACACATTTTGTATTTTAAGTGATGATTTAACATGCTACAATCCACTACTTAGTGAATAGCAATCACATATTGCGATTGTTAAACCCTTGCATAAAAAAATGGCAGGTCACTGTATTTTTTGCAATGCTTAAGGAAGTTGAGTTGCGAGCGAAGGCATATGATCATGAACAAAGTATTCCATTCACACCAGTTGAACAAGAAGTCAGGTGCATGTCAAAAATTAACAGAATTGACAGGTTTCACGCACATGAAACACGTTCTTATTACAGACACAAAGACGGGAGTATCTGGAGTTACTTCAAATGCACAGCTATTTGATGATCACATTTTTATTGCCATGCTAGCTACAAAGGAGAAAGGAAAATGCAGAAAGACATTCTGATCTACAGATTTCATCAGCCCATCGATGATTTCCATGGTTCTGATCTGCAGACTTCTCATCAAGCCCTTAGCTCAACATAGGAACCTGAGATCCCTGAGGTGCCAATCAGGGAGATCTGCACGTAGAACACTTAAATTATGAGTAAGGAGTCCTAAATATATATGCTATTTCACTAGCTTCAGTCCTGACACAACAAGCAGGCTCGATGTGTATCGAACTGAGAACATAATTCCATACATGCTATGAGGTTGAGCAGGACATAATTCATTATCATCATCAGAAAAAAATCCGATGAAAAAAAAACTAAAGGAGAAGGTACATTTTCATAGCAATAACGACATGGGACCAGAACATCCTTTCCCCATAAATGGTACACTATCATTATGTGCACGAGGTGTTTGAAAAAGCACAACCATGTGATTCTTATAAAGCCACTTGCCTGCTAGTAATGCCGTGAGCAAAAGATCATGGAGGAAGACCAGACAATATTGGCCAGGAATCAGCCCGAATGCATGTTTGTTTTGCTGGTTTATGGTGAAAGTAGGAGAAATGGGAAAACATTTACCAATTTGAAAATAACAAAATTACCCTGAACCAATAAAGCAAAGTCTAACTCACATATCACCAATTCCAAAATGTCCGATACACTTTTTTCTCAAAATCCTACCCCAGAGAGGAGCTTGTCCGTGGTGGTAACACTGTCAACTCGCCACAGACAGAAGGGGAGCTATATTTGGTACTTCAGATTTCACGCAAAGTGAAATTGGATGCAATTCCGGTACCATGAGTTCTATGACATACATGACAAACTAATTTAACAATCCTTGCCAGATCTTGCTATGACACTCAGTGCATGAACACTTACAGCAAGCCAGCCAGCTATGGTCAGTTGTTATGCATAATTTTCTTAAAATTAAAAAATCATATGGTAAAAAAGAAGATATGAAACTATTTGAGAAGCCTGAAGTACATATTACCCCCTTCAAGTTACCCCAAATTTTTCTTTGTACCAAGTGAAATACAATCAATATGGTTTAGGATCCCACTGGCAACTGAACAATTAACACCAGTTTATGGAAATCATGGGCTTCCACCTGGTATGGAAAATATCAAAATAATGGATGGATGGATGGTTGCAGAAAATACAGATTCAAGTTTTTAATAGATTTTCTTCAGATAGGCAAAGGACCAAGCATGGGAAATTCAATCAACAATACAAAAATCAGTCAAGCAATAAACATGATAACATTATATTAAAGATGCACTAACACTGCATATGGAACAAAAACTGAACATAATCTTAAAAGGAACTATGGCATAGTTAGAAGCAGAGAAACTTTTACAAACATCAAGAATCACAAAAGTATCAAGGAACATATTTTTAATTTTCTACCAGCATAAGACAACACTGAAGTAAAACTGTACCACAGGGACAACCGGACAAGTAAAATTCAGAAGAATACCTTTCCCCACTCAGAACCTATACCACTGCATCTCATTTTGAGGTGTATCATTTTTGTCCCCAACTCAGTCTCCACCTTCTTTCTTAGATAATTTTCCTCAGGGCCAAAGGACTCCAGATATGTCATGTAGCGATTATATGCAGCTTTAACAGCATCTTCAATATAACCAGGCAAGGGACCCACATTCTGCAAAAGTTTTGTCTTGATCAGACTGATATAAGCACCCCCAAAAAATACATGAGGAAACAGAGATAACAAGTACTGACTTCACCAGTCAGGCCACAAAGATCATCAAGAGCCATTCTTAGGGTAACCAAGGTTCCACTAAATTCTTCACACGCCTCAGCTGCACGAAATACATTTTTCAAAGCCTCTTGACCAGCATTATCATCGGTGGCTTTAGATACTGCTTTCTTTGCTTCTGCTACGAGAGAATCTGGAAGTTCATTCCAACTAGCAGCCAACAAATCCTTAAATGCAGATTCTATCTCTGGATCAGATATTGCAGGCAAGTGCTTTTCATTTGAACTGAAGAAGCGTCTCAGTTTCCATGAGATAGGATTGTTGCCACCTGAGTTTATAACATGGGCAAGCTAATTAAGAATGAGGAGTTTTAAGTGAAGTGCAATATTAGAATCACATCAAAATGAAAAGAAATAAGGCATCATTGACTCTTCTAGCATTTTTTCCCAAATATATAAACACAAATCAAAGGAAAAAATTCCACAACTCCAAGGATTTCACATAAAATAATCGAATCTCGTTAAAGGAAGTTTAATCACTTTGAATCCCCTTTAACCATTTCTCTCACAGAATCCGGCACATATTAAATTAGAGTGAAAGATTAGTATTAACCAACCAAGTACTTTCTTTGCAAACTAACATGGAAAACAGGAAAAAGGCAACCTTTGTATCCCCTTTTAGTTAATGACTGTACCCCTAAGTTCATGGTTAAGAACACAATATATTGGAACAGAACGGTTGGGTTACATAAAAGCACCGCCTCCCTCACCGCCCAAATGACACGATGTCCCTTATTCGGTTATTCCCTTCCATCCTCTCTCAAAACCATGTCCCTTATTCCCAACCACCTTCTCTCAAAACCAACTCTCCTTGTAGCCATCAGCATAGGATGGGCCAACCCTAAACAGTAACAATCCCATGCCGCCCCTGACCCCATGCATGAAAAACATAAATGATGATTTTTTGTTGCTGATTTCCTGAAGCCCGTGTACTCAAACAAAGGCTAGACAACCTTTTGTCTAGTTGCTACAGAAGAAAATGCCTCGCTGCCAAGCAACATCACTCGTGTTGTATAAATAAGAAAGTGAGTTCATTAAAAAGTTTGATTAGACATTAGCCTAGAAAGAAACACTCTAGGACCACACATTTCACGTCCAGGCAACTCTCTGTCTTCATGTTGATATACTCTGAGCTAGAGTATGTCAACTTCCAGTCAACCATAATCTCTCGCATAATAACACCCTTGCCTACGGAGTAATAGCTTCTAGCATTGCAAACAGATTTCCCCACTAGCATCAACCTAGAGTTATAATCTCCCTAGTAATTAGGGCAACCATATCTAGGACTAGGAGGATCCTAACCAGGAATCAACCCGGAAGGACCCGATAAGGAGATCAGTCTGATCCAGGCACCCACATGCGGTAAAATCAACAAGTAGTCAAAGAGACGTGAGGAGTACCTGAGAGCGCGGCGATGGGGCGCGAGAGCGGCGCAGCCCCGGCCATGGGCCGGGAAGCAGCGGACAGAGCCGACGAGGCTGCCGGGGCGAGACGCAGGAGCCGGCGTGCGGCAGAGGAGCGGAGGGCGGCGGCGGCGGCCATCGCCGTGGTCAGGGAGATCGCCGACCGAGGCGGCGCGGGGAGGACGAGGCAAGTGTCGGCTGGTGTGGGCTGTGGGGGGCGAGGACGAGGGTCGCAATCGGCCGCGTAGGAGAAGAATGGGAGGGGAGCGGAACGGAACGCCCGAGCCGAGACGGACGTGGGGGGAGGGCGAGCCGTGTCGCGTTCGGTGCGACCCGGTAAGCCTGCCGGCGGGTGGGCGAGGCGTGCCGACGTGCCGTGCGGTCAGCGCGGTGTACCGCTCCAGCTCTTGCATTGCTCGATCCACTATTTTTACTTTCAAGCTAAATACAAAAGGTTGCATATGCTTGCGACGACCATGACTTCAGCTGAACTAGTTTTGAAACTTTTTCGCCAATGTGCTTGCAGCTAATAAACTACTATACGAACCTTTCGATAAAAAAAACTACTACACGAAGGGTATAGTCACGTTATTCTACTAGAAAGACGTCTTCCATGATTCTCTACTCGTATTTGTTACCTCTAATAAAGTCTCATCATCCCATTCACGCTTTGTTAACTTGTTCGCCACCTTATATTTACACTAATCATGTGCATGTCAAGCATGATGGATCGACTCAAACAAATTCCAAATGTAAGTGAGAAGGCGATGGATAGGTTCGTTTCTCAAACCAAACACCTAGTTCCTCCATTGTTTGGTCATTACTCCGTTATCTGTAAGATTTGTTTTCTTTTCTTGGATGGCATGTCATCCATATTTGCCTTATTGTTGCTATAAATTTGCACAACTTCTTTTTTATTTTATGCTAGGGGCTTACGGTAAACTCTTCAAGCACCTTGATATGATTGCCAAATTCTTCTCTGCTTTTGATTCTATACTTGTCGATAGTCTTTGCTTAGATTGTACTTGTACCTTCACTTGAATGTCTCATGTCTCCAATTTCATCTAGCTCTGTCGATAAACGAGATCTCCTTTACCCCTTCCTCGAGGCCACTATCCGGGCTTGATGCATGCCACGAGAGTTTTAGTCTTTTACATATATCATTCTATAATGTAGCTAGATATTATATGGCAAACCATCCAACAAATATAAGTAGCCCATTCTTTGACCTTTTCCAAGGGATAACCATTGCAACAAGGTTCCATCCAAGACTATGCAAGCGGATTTGACCACAAGCATGCCTGCATCTCTACAAGACTTTGTGATTAAAATGGTCATGCAAGCATCTGACAACATGATGCAGCATCTCATCTCGATTTAAGTTGAATTCCTTAGTGAAGTGGTATAATGAACTTTCTTCCACCGTTTAGGAACTCCAGTTGAAATGAAATCTTACTAGGAGTTTGCCACGAATATACTCCCTCCATCCTATAAACAATGCCATTCCCACTTCATGAGATGCAAACAAGAGCTAAATGTATACATGAAAATATTAAAAATTATGGTACAGTTAGTATCATTAGATAAATGTTGAATATATTTTTATAACAAACTTATTTAGAAATACAAATGTTGCTAGGTATTTTTTTTATAAATAGTCAAATTTGAAAAAGTTTGAACAACACGAATCCCATAACAACGTTTTTTGCGGGATGGAAGGAGTATTTAGTATCAAAACAACGTACAAGTCAAAGGGCATGTTCGACTGTGCTTATACCGCTACGGCTGCAGCTTGCTCTGCTGGTGCTACACTAATATGTGAGGAGACTTAGGGCCTATTTAGATCTGCTCGTTTAAATGGAGACCTAAAGTATCCAAACAAATGGTCTAAAGTTAGCTCTAAACTTTAGGCCATCTCATGTTAGAGCTCTACAGCATGTTCGGTTGGCTAGTTCGTATCGTTGCTGGTTCGTTTATGTGAAAGAGAAGTACTGCTGGCTGGTTCATATAAATAGTATCCATGTGAGGAGGCTGGCCAGCCAGTCCAGCCAGCCAGCCCCAGCCAATCGGGCTGCTAGATTTTAAAACTGAGCTAAATACTCTAAAATTTAGAGAAGAGGATCAAACATGTCTTTACACTCAAAACACTAGAAGCTACTACTTTCTAGGCCAAGCGACCAAAACAAACAAGGACTTTCCATCCTGGTAGGTACTGCATACCCAGGTACTCCCTCCGTCCATAAAATATGTACCCGTTGCTTCCTCCGTTTATAAAAATATGCAATTCTAACACAATGTCATGTTTAAGTATCTTAAATTTAATCAATTATAGATAAAGTATCAATATTTATGATATTAAATAAATATCATTAGATTAATTATGAAATATATTTTTATAATAAATTGATTTGGAGCCATAAATATAAATATTATTCACTACAAACCTGGTTAAATGTGAACTATTTTTTTTGGCACGCAACCAGTAATTACATATTTTATGGACAGAGGAGGACTACCAAATCCCGGTGCATTAATTAATTAAACAACAAAACAAACACAGAAGGACCCGGATTCCCAGCTGATGCTGCGATGCATGCGTTCGCAATTAAATAATCCAAAATCAATCTCGTAGTAATCAACATTCTATTCCATACAAATACAAATGGACGTGTGTACACAAATCCCTCGAAACAGAAACAACCACAACCCACGGGCCCATCCTCTCAGTCTCCCACGAGACCACGACTACGATACACAAGTCTCCAACCAACCAAGGACGAGGACAGGGCGAAGCGAAAGCGTGAGTGGTGACAGAAGGACGAGGTGAGCGGAGTGGTTGGGACTTGGGAGGAGCGTCCAGACTGATCGAGGGTTTAGGGTTTCTCCTCCCTCCCCTCCTCCATCCCGCGCCCCACCCCCCGCCCCGGCCCAGCCACCGCCGTCGCCGCCGCCATGGCTGGGGTGGAGGACGAGGACGAGGACGAGTTCAAGGACGCCCTGGCGGCCGCCGATCCGCAACCTTGCTCACCAAAGCCACCTCCAAGTCCAAGCCCGCTACTGGCGGCGGCGGTGGCCTCGGGAGGAGGCTGCTCGCTTCCATTCCTCTCCCCACCACCCTCTCCACCACCATCGGCCGCTTCTCCAGCCCCAAGCCATCGGCTTCCAATGTGGGCCTCGGGCTCCTACTCAACGCGGGGCCCGCTCCCTCCGTCGACGCCCCCCTACCTCCGACGCGGCCTCGGGCGGTGGCGGCCTCCACATGTCCTCGTTGGCTGCTCTCCAGCGGTAGCACGGGGATGATTAGGTTGCTGGGAGTGGCGCAGGTGCTGGGGAGGAGGAGCTAGGGTTGGTACCGGCCGAGGAAGGGTGGAATACAGCTAAAGACAGTCGGGAAAAGGAAGGTCTTGCTGTTGATGGGCGCTCGGCGAACAGAAATTGTTTCCCGACGCGTGGTCAGGAGGAGGGGGAGCATTGCTCTGGTGATGAGTTGGGGGCAGCCATGGCCCAAGATCAGGAGGTGGTGGAGGAGGAACAAGGGGCCATCGAGGATTGTGCTGCTGTGGTGGAAGATGAGAGTAACTACTCTACAGTAGATCAATGTGCTGGTGATGAAACAAGGGCAGTCAAGGATAGCAATGATGTGGAAGTAAATGAGAGGGTGATCAACCAAGAATGTGCTGGTGGCATACTGGATGCAGCTGAAGATGGTGTTTTTGTAGGATTGCAAGAGGAGGAGAATGTTGTGGTGGAAGAGCAAGGCGTGGATGTCATTTCTGTAGAAGATCAACATGAGTTGGTGGAGCAGTGGCCTGGTGATCAGTTGACAACAACCACAGATGGTAATGTTGCACAAGATCAAGAGGTGGTGGTGGAGCATGAAGGGGCAACTAAGTGGTACACTGCTTTGGAAGCTATAGAACAATGCAGCGATGGTGGATCAAAACCAGTAAAGAATGGGGATATTGTTGAAGAGGAGAAGGGTGTGGAAGAAGAAGGTGTTGTTGGTCTACTGCTGGATGCGGCCAATGATGGTGCCCCTGTGGAATCACAAGGGTAGGATGATTTGGTGGTGGCAAGAGCAAAATGAGGATGCCATTTCTTCACAAGATCAACATAAAGTAGTGGAGCAGTCCACCGGTGATCAATTGAGAACAACCACAGATGGTAATGTTGCACAGGATCAAGAGGTGGTGGTGGAGCAAGAAGGGGCAACTGAGTGGTACACTGCTTTGGAAGCTGTATGTCGCAGAACCAACCAATTTATAAGAGCACAAGTACAATGGAAACCCACAAGCAGTCGCATTGTCATACTTGAGCCCATATAAACTCCGGTAGTCCGTCGAGTACCACGATGGGTCTCGATAAACGATCCACATACAACCAAGATCGTACATGATTCAACATACATGTCACATGTTACATAAAGTTCGCAGATACAGTTCATTCATCAGAGTACGAAATAAGGTTATTACAAACCAAGTTCGGTAAATAGTAGCGGAAGCAAATTAAAGTTTGAAACTAGTATTTGCCAACATAGTTCAAATACAGTGCCAACTCATGATCACAATCCACAAAAGCATATAAGAAGGATTATTAAATATGCTTGCCCAGGGCTCACTCCTCATCCACGGCGGGACAGAAGCAGTTCTTGCAATAGCCGTGATAAACGGTACCATCTGCAACAATGGGAATAAAACCCTGAATATGAGAAGGTACTCAGCTAGACTTATCCGTCATAAACCAGAAATAAATTGACTCCAAGGATTATGCAAGGCTTTATAAGTGGAGGTAGCTTGACAATATTTTGCATAAAAAACGATTAACTCAGTTATACAATTATACTTTGGTCATCAAGTTAATTATAGCTATTCATCTCTAGATTAACGACTAGCCTATGCCAAACATGTGATATATCATTTAAGAGCATACAATAGTAACCATAGCCGGTGTAGTAATTCCATGTTTATCCGAACCATCACATTCCATAATACAATTACTACGATGTTGGAGCTAGCCAAGTTTCTCACTGTCCGGGAGAGACGGCGATTCGAATCGATTTCAACCAGCTAGAAATTTATTCCTAACACAAACCCAGGCAGACCAGATCAACGGTCACCTTAGGTCACCTTTGGTACAACTCAGATCCACATTTCATGGGTTCGCCCAGCGCCATACAATCAGGGACAACCAGCTGCCAGGACGTTTAGGTCCGGCCTGCCCTTGGGCTCACGTATGGCTCCCCGTACATCCTTACTACCATCTAGAGTGCATACTTTTACATAACAGGGCCCGACCTGAGTTGAGCTACTTGGCTTCGCAGTCAGAATGAATTATCCGGCTAGCTAAGTGATAGACATGCGTTCAATCTTGTCAGAAGGGCCAACAACGGTACGGTCCTTAATCGGCACAGACGGAATCACATGAGTCAACCTACACATAGACTCTACCCGGCCTCCATTTACATTACCCCATGGTTCTTTTCCATGATAGCAAATATAGGTAACCGTGCTTCGGTATCCACCTATATCTCGTAGGTGACAGGAAATCACTCGACTTCTACCGGTCTAAGCATGGCTAAGCATAGATTCGATCCTGAACCTACATAGGGTTAAAGGTATATATAACAGGACAGGGTAGTTGTATGCATCAAGTATTTCTAATCAACTCTTATAACCTAATGTATATACGATGACACGTCGTTCCCTCCCTGTAGCTAGTCGATACTATCGGACTATGCTCGAGTCAATGTACCTGTAGAAAAATTGATTAAGTCTACCTAAGTCAGCAGAGTGTCATCTATCATGGATACATAACCATAGTAATAGGGCTACTTATATAACTTCACATACAAACGTCCGAACTTTTTGGAAAAGAATTTGTTGTCAAATTTTAGTTTAGAAAAGGTTTTCAAAGCTTTATTTTCTCATTTGCGCTCTGATACCACCTGTGGCAGAACCGCCTAATCTAATGCCTCCCAGGAGTGCTCGTCTTCCATTAGACACTAAGCACCTAAGGGAGAACATCAAATTACTCGGTTCCGTCGGGCACACCTCAGGGGAGAATCTGAAAATCCACACTTTTCATCAGGATCACAAATGAGAGAATAAAGCTTACATCATTCTTAACCATTTCTTACATCACTTTACATGTACATCAGAGTATAACATTTATTATGATAACAACGGAATGTAATCATATTATCAGAGTTATGAACAGTTTAATTGAACAACAGAATATAAATATGTGATCAGAATTACAGCGGAAATAAATATCTATACATGACATGAAGTGTTGATATATAAACTACGACAACAGATTATGAAACTTTCATTTATAAAAGCATTTGGTTAGAGTTATAAATAACAACTACGATCGCAGCGTAAAGGAATCCTCACTGAGCCCACCAGGAGGTATCCACACACAAGGGTCAGCTCTAGCATCCACCTGTTACCTGCAACAGGGGGAATAAAACCCTGAGTACTCAATTATACTCAGCAAGACTTATCCGACAGGAGGAAAGAAAAGACTCCAAGGATATGCAAGGCTATCTGGCTTGTGGGTTTATTGCATTTATAGGAAGCATTACTAAGCGTGCGTCCTTATATTCAATTCTTATTAGGAAGCCGCATTAGTTCATTAACTAACCATTCTATATAAGCACCTGTACTACTTTTAAGCAGGTGGCAAGCAATTAGATTTCCTTTTTCCATCTTTCATCTTTCATCTTCAGTTCTTACTACGGTGCTAGACACGAAACAAGCCGTACCGGATCTCCCGGCGATTCGCGAATCAATGCCCTGGCTGGGTACCCCGAAAACACATGCCTCGCTTGTACCCAAGGCACAACCAGGACCAACCCATCACTCTCCTGTCCTGGGTGTCTAGGTCCTCGTCCAAACTGGGACTCCAAGCCCCCGCTCCTGAGTCCCGGACTCAGTGCGGTGCAAGGACCTCCTCCACCAAAATAAAACCCTAACAGTCGGTCCGAAAAGAGTCGGATCCACGACAAGAGAGCAACAAGTCTTCCAAGCGCCCATACCCAAGTATGTGCTCGGGATAATAAGTCTGTGACTTGCCTCGATGGCTTATGCAACGACCGGTCCTTAACCGACACAGATAGGGAAAACAGTGTAACCAAGCCATGCCCCGCGTCCACGGTGACACAACCTCTTACACCCACCAATACCCAAACCATATCCCTGTCCGGTCACCATTTTTCCTTTCCACCATTTATATTTTCCAAGTGATAATGATATAGTAACATATTTCCTATATCTCGCGAGTGACAGGCAATCACTCAACTTCTACCAGTGTCTTGTAGCATAGCAATCTACACGATCCTGTCATACTAGTAAGACTCATAGGATAAAGATATATATATGCAAGTGGGTTTCATTCAACTCCTTGAAACTTAATGCACAAATATAATTTAAACTGCAGAAAGTAAGGGTTATGCACCGGGGCTTGCCTGGGTAAAATATAACCAAAAGTTAGCATTCCATCTTGGTGATATGATCCTTGGCACCATCTTTTCAGCTACTCCAGTTGATATCATCGATCCACTGTTGTTCCTATTATGATATGTATTGATGCAAATGCATAGATGTAAATAATCAACGACAGTCGGATTTCTTAGAAATCCAATCACGCTTCCAAAAGTACCATTTCTCCAGCAACTCCCGATGACTCCGCGATCCATCGACGTCCCTCCGTCGGCGTCGAACTCGTGGTACTCGGCAAACAGACACAAATAAATATTCACATAAATTCAATTGTGTTCCAAAAATTATGAAACTTTATGGATAGGTAGGGTTCGATTTTACATCAATTTAGGAAGAAGAAGTGATGGAATCGAAGTTAGCATAGTGGAGATATTAATTGTGCAAGGTGGCCGTTAATTAATCACAAGGAGAGAAAATGAAACATGATTAGTGGCCACGTGCTGGCGCTGGTTTATTAGAAAGGGAAAAGGAATAAAGAAATGGGTGGAGTGGATTAATGGCTCACGACTCTTGACTTTACGTGTATAGGAGCTGAGTTGGTTCTCGGCTTTGTTACTAGCACATGGCATAGGACAAGCTACTGCTGTGGACTAAACAAAGAGCAGAGCGGGTATACGGCTAGGACTCTTTGAGAGAGACACAGAGAGCACCGGGCATTTGTGCTCCTCAGTTCGTCCGCCATGGACAGCTGCTGGACTTTCGCCTGATGGCGATTCTGACCATGACTTCCAAATCCAAGGGCATGGGGAGGTAGAAGGGAGGTAGGGGATGTATGGGGACTATCTACCTTGGTCTATTGCAGCTCGAGGAAGGAGATCAATAGATGCAGCTTTCACGGGCAAGAACAGAGAAACTTGATTTGAGAGAAGCAAGTGAGCAGCGGAGCGGAATGGCTCGGTGTATCCTTTTAAAGGCAGGAGACACGGGGATGGAATTAAGCAAGAGGAGGATAAGGAGGACGACGAGAAGGTTAGGCATGGATACTGTGAATGAACTAGAGAAGTGTAGGCGCGACAGCGACGCGTCGTAAGGTTAGTGGCTAACTAGCTTGCTTAAAGGTAATAAAACGCTGCTTGTGCACGACGTGATGCTCGGATAAACAGTGTTTTCTACGGTGAACAGTGTCTTCCACGGTGAACAGTGTTTCTTCGCGCTGCAGTGCTCCTGCGGTGAACAGTGCCCGCCATGCAAGACATAGTGAACCGTGTTTAGATTTCAGGTGATGGACTTGAGTGGTCTTTGGTGTTTCGACGTGTCAACTAGGCTAGTTGATTCATGATGGACTTGGACTCGAGTGTGTCCTTGTCGTGTCAACGGGGCTGATCAACAATAAAGAGTGTACATGTGCTAATTAAATTAAGAAGGATGAAGGAGAAGATCATTCGCAGACTAGCTCAAGACGAACAAGCAAGGAGACGCATGCGGGCTCGGTTACTTCTTAAACACGACGACAGGACGGCCAGGCCCAACATGGCCAGCAGGGCGTGCCGGTTGGCATGGACAAGACCGCGGCCGCAGAGACAAGCAAGGCAGGCAATCAGAGAAACAAAGACAAGTAGTAAGGGAGGGAAAACAAGGAGTGGCTCGGTAAATGTAGACAGAAGTAATCAAGTCAGAGAGAGAAGCAAAGCAAAAGCCAGGGAGCAGGGATGCGGATGGATGAGGAGACTTTGCAATGCAGCGAATTGCAGGGCCACGATGAGAACGAGACAGTGAT